AGATTAAGATAGCATTTGTATAGCGTAAATCCCCACTCAACAGCAAGCTCTCTATGCGCTTCACAATCTTTACTACTACCCCAGCAGACCTGAGAGCATTCTGAAACAACACCAACTTCCTGGGAAGCCTGCAGAATGATACATTGTATAATCAGTCGTGTCCCGCAGTAGTTCCATCGACTTAGTCATGAATTAATGAACATCTTTTGTTGTAGCAACACGCAAGCTCACATGCAGTTCGATGGTCGTTTCTAGCAATCATCATACGTGTGTTAGTTGCAGATCGGACACTTTGACTTTGAGCATAAAATGAGGGCTAGTTACATCAGCTCATTCATTACGTGGTTGTTGTTTTTTTTTTGGGGGGGTTTGGTTGGTGATGTTTTCTCTCTCATTTTGGCGCATTTTAATCCATGGAGTACTAAGGCATGTACCATGGTGCATCTATTATTAGACTCTTCGTAGCGAAAGAGTTAATATAAAACACAGAAGGTTACTGTAACTTAGATCCTGAGCAACAGAACTCTGCCTGCAGCTTAAAATGAGAAACCTAGCAACTCACTTAAGTTTATTTGTTATAGGAGAACAAAGAGCGGGGGTCATGACAGTGCCCGGCCTAGGGTACCTTTAAGTCCTTTCAAGTCTTTGTCTATGACTCTTGTCTAATCTAAATAATATTGCAGATTCATTGAATATAGAAATAACGATACCACATGAAGATAAAAAGGTATACCTGCTGTATAATTTTATCTCAAATAGAATCTTTTGAACAGCCGACTGACTCAGATTCGCGCATAGGTGTACATACTAGGTTTTTAATCCCAATCCCAAGGGCAATGAACTCACTTCAATAGCGGCAGCTGTTTACGTGTCCTCGGTAAAACGACACAAGCAGTAGTACACGTAAACCTGTTTAATAAACAGACTGTTTACATGAAATCGTTCCCATAAACGACGTGCATAACGAACGTTTTTGGTAGCATAATGATGCCATCTGAACTGTTCTGTTTAGTTTTACGGCGTTCGCAGCTGCATAAGGTCATATGAGCGCCAGATCAGCTCATGACCACCTGTACAAGACAATAACCTATACAAACGACCACACCCCCCCTTCCCTCATTTGTGTATTTTTTCAATTTTGCTTTTATCAACAATAATCATGACGCTGTCCAAGAGAACCACCTGTCTAAAATGACCACTTTTCTCCTCAACAATGATAACCGTCTTGGACAGGTTCGATAGCCTCTGCTATACACTGATCGGTCCGGTTGTGTATACCGAGTATATATAGATCAAGTACCAAATAGATTACGTTTAAGATTAAAATAAAATTCCGCTTAAACTAATGGGAAGTGTGATTCACAATGGCACACATAAAAACATACC